TTAAGTTTTCAAAGAATATTTATTTGGGATGTAAATGAAAAATAGGTAACTAATACTGTAGTTTATTCATAATTTCATATATATGCATATATATATGTAAATGTGTTTGTGTATACTAACGTTAGGTTAACCTCAGGCTCACGCACGCCTATGGATTTGTGATTCCGTACTACATTTCGTTAGTCAATTCAATTGATTACCAAACTATACAACAAATCTTCTCTATCCTGTTGCAAACACAAATTACTCATTTCTTTAAGAAATATTTTAATTATCTTATAAAACTCCATTTTTTCAAAGATTAATTCTTTTTTTATTATTATTATTTTTGAATAACATCATCCGTGTTTAGATTTCTTTTTTATATCAAAATTATAGTGACACATCAAAATTCATATATAAAATTATGTATATATTATTTAAATTTCTTCACCTTTAAAACCATCTTAATACTTCACAACTATTTAGATTAAACCCTTTAAATTGATTGGAAATAATTAAAAAAACATGAAAAAATATTTTATAAGTTTCAAAATGAGTATGCCTAAAATTTTATTTTCCAAAATCTCAATATTAATGGTAAAATGTTAATCTATACCTATATATAAAAATAATTTTTTTTACATGATTTTTGAACTATTTTATTCTTAAGTTTTTAAATAATAAAATATAATATTAAAAATTAACTATTTTCATAAATTCAAGACTAAAATCTAAGATCTTGAAATTAAAAAATTAAACATAATACCAATTGATCTTTACCTCATTAGTTAAAATATCGGATATAATTAGTTCATGTAGTATATGTTTGATTTTTCTTAAATAAGATTTGGATTTGAATCATATAATAGAAAAATATTTATTCTGAAAATTATATATATATATATATATATCATATGTAAAAAATATTATTTTAAATGAAAAATAAAAAATAAAAAGAATCGTCCTACTCTATTATTAAATGGATGTTCACTTTTATTTACCTATGGCCATTTGTTGGATATATTTAGATATATATATATATATATATATATATATATATTAATTATTGATACAATTACAATTATCTCTCATAAACTATTAAATTGAATGCTAGCATGTTAAAATATTTTTGGAGGAGATGTCGTATAATGTTAGATAAATTAAAATGAGAATGAATCTATTCTTCATCTACTGTAAGTATTAGTTATTTTAATTTTACAAAACCCTTTAATCACCAATTTCACAAAAATGAAAAATATTTAGTTACTTTTATTTTATTTTTTAATGTTATTTTACATAAAAAAATATAAAATTTTATTATAATAAAATTTTCATATAGTGACATATACTCTATAATAACATAATATTTGTTATTAAAATTTAATTTTACCTATATTATAAATATAAGATATGTTGATATATTATTAAAAAGATGTAGCTATAAATAATAATGATACAATATATATTATTAAATTAATCTCACTTAAAATTAACATTAAAATTTTACATAATTATATGTCAAATAAATTTACATTTACATATATTACATTTATAATGAAACTTTTTATATATTATTATATTTATATTTATATGTAATATTTATTGTAGTATTTTTCAAAACTAAAGATTAAAAAGAAAATCTTATAAGAATAAAAAAATATAACGAATAATCAAATATAATATAATAAAAGGACAATACTAAACTCAGTTCCTTAGTTATCAAAAAAAATAAAATTCAGTTCCTCTACCCGAAATCTGATATATATTTTTTAATTAAAGGCGGTCAACAATTTTTTCTTATAAAAATTAATAATTGATGAAACATTTTATACCCATAAAATCATAATAAAAATATTTGTTTTAGTCCTTATTAAAAGATATTGTTAAAAAAATTATATTTTTTATAAAATACTTTACAATTTATATAATATTAATTTTATTTCATCTTTTGTCCCTATTAAATATTGTGAAAATATATCTTTAAGCTTTAAAAAATAAATATTCTTTCTCTCTCACCTTCTAAATTCAATTATAATAATTTTATAAATATTAGTGTATTAACTTTAATATAGAATACATCTTCACATCTTTCATATAAAATTAATAATAAATAAAATAAAATAAATATATCATAATTATACTTTATAAATTTAATAAAATTAACTAATATAGTTAGTTATATTGGTTCGTGTAATTAAAAGTTTCTCATGTAATCATAAGAGAAAGTATATAAGATTAAAAGTTTAGCATAAAGTAGCCGAATGCAAATATGCAATTTAATTTTAAACATGATCCGTACAAGTCGGCAGGTCATTAAATATCTTTGAGAGACGAGAATCTAATCATGAAGTAACCATATTTAACAAGACCTATACATGATTAATTAATGAATATCCTATATATATATATATGAGAATAAAAAAATTAAAAAAAAAAAAAACGACTAGCCCATCAAAACCTAATTAAACATTGGAGATCGCACATTGGTGGGTTACGTGTTCACCGTACAAAGAGGTGAGTTAGCTAAAGAAACATAAACAAGTGCAAGGGTACATGAGATTAATTAATTTAATTAGGGTTTTTGGATTGGGGAATGTCCTTATCGGATTAACAATGGAGGCTTTTCCCATTTTGCAGTTTATATATTTTATTTGAGATATGTTTTGTGGCCCCCTTTGTCTTTAGACATTAGATTCGAAAGTGAAAGTTAAACCCCACTAAACCCATGCTTTGCTTTGGCCTAATTATGAATTTTAAAATTATTGAAAAGGTTGCCCTAAAATTCCAAATGAAGTGAACGACCGCCACCACGAACCAAGAGTCACTCCCATGAACAAAAAGTCACTTTATTAGGGAAACCTCATCTCGATCGCTTGGGGCATGGACAATTATCAAAATACTACGTCTCATATCTTTAGAAAGTGAATACTCCAAAAAAGGCTATGTTCAAAAAGCTAACTAACATTCACGCTTGATTTTTTTTAAAAAATACTTTTTATTTTTTTAATAACCACCATAGTTATGGTACTTTGGAAAAATAAAAAGTTACTACTTACAAAATAGTTTGACTGCCAACTAATAGTAATAATTACATTTTTTTTAGTATTGATATCATCCAATAATAAATAATTTTTGAATATATATAAAATGAATATTTTATTTTATATCTAAGGTTAGGATAATCATAGTCTCATATAATCGTATATATATATTTATTTACTTTTCACAATAATGATTTTAAAATTACATCAATAACTATTTTTATCAATTAACCATATACAACTTTTATATTGAGAATGTTGATGACTATTGTATCCTTATAAATTGTGGTTTTCTAGCAGAATTCCAAAATATTTTCGTAAGAGCTTTGATCAATTGAATGTAATGTGAAATTATTTTTCTTTTTAGTGTTTAGTTTCACTTAAAGCTTCTCAATCCTCGGTGTAACTGAAAAAAAGAATCAACATGAAATGTGATATGCGAAAAGGAAAAAAGTAACTCCTTTCAATTTTTTTTAAAAAAAATTTATAATTCTAAGTCTTATTGTTATTTTATATATATATATATATATTTCACGACTACTTCTATAATAAATATCAAATAAAAGTATTTTAAATTAAATATAATAATTTATAAATAATATTAAATATTTCTTAAAATGGTGTAAATTAACTTCAATTAAATATCAATAATTTTGGACGATAGAATACTACCTGTCTATGGCAAATAATAATAATAATAAAAACAATACCGTTCAAGTAGGTGGTTCTGGTGGTGCGTGAATGCGTGATGGTGTCTGGTGTGTAAACACTGATGATTAATTGACCAAACCCTGTGCTACTTTTTCTGACACGTTCTTACTGTTTCAGACTGTGCCGTATATAAACTTAGGCATAGTAATTATTTATTACTATATTAATTTGAACTAATAATTAACGAAGTTTTTAGGCCCAAATGCCAGATCTCATATTCAAAGGTATATAAAGCTTATTTTTAATTAAAATGGACCTTGCTTTAAACAGTTTCACTAGCCTGTTACCTATTTGCAGTTCTCACCAATAAGGATTGTTAAGTTGAAGATCAAAGTTCAATTTCCTCCACATCTTATGCTTTGATTTCCCATCATATATTATAATAATCAAGATAAAAATAACCATCACAGTTAAGCAATTCAAATGTGCATGTTGAAAATATCAATTGCTGAAAAAAGTTGGCTGGGTTTTTTATGTTTTTCTATTGCAATGACTAGTAATTAATTTAGAATATTGGTGGCCTCTTGTTTGATGAAATAGTAAAATAGTCGTGTACCACCAATGTACCATGGTAAACAGTTTTGTGGGGGGAATATCAACCACCACCCCATTTTGGGTGGAGGGAAGAAAGACATGAAAAAAGAATGTAGTAAAAGATGAATGAAAATATATACCCAATTGCTGTAGTGGAATCTTACGAAAGGTAAGTGATGATATTTAAACAGCTTTGTGAATTAAATATTCTATTCATATTTATTATTTCCATTTATTATGTAGGTTATCATTCTTTCAATTTAACTAATAGTTTAATTTTGAATCTTAGATATGTAATTATGTTTAATGTTATGAAAGCTAAAATTTTATATTAGATAATAATTTCAATTCAACTACATAATTATATTTAATTAATAAAAATTGCATGTGATTTTTTTATATAATATATGTATGATATTTACTATTGGTATTGCGTATCATCTTTACCCTTATTTATCTTTCTTTCTCAAAATATTGAATTGCTTTGAATTTTCACAAATCTTTTTCCAAGTTCATTATTCCTTCAATGAGTGACCTCTATCTTTTCGTGATTGGTCATAAGGTAAGGAATGTTAATAGTTACCGAACCAACAAGACTAACTTTGCTCAAGAAAGGACGGTGCCAATCAAAAGCTGGACCATAGTACCATATATTATATACATGATGAATTTGGACTCATAATTATAGCTAGGTGAAAAACAGAAAGTACATACGTAAACGTGGAATCCGGGTTATAAAACATATTTTAGTCTTATTAATGTAGATTACATACTTATATTAGGATAAACACATTTCTTTTTCAATTCATCTTTTCTTGACTGTAAGGTATCTTCATCATTAATTATTAATGCAGAAGAACTTACAATGGTGATCATTTATGGCAACACATCTTTCCATCCGTAAAATTAGCAACCAATCCATAGAATAGTACTGTCATCATCTTCACGAAGGATATATATTCCCCCAAAATTTCAATCAAAATGACCTCTCTCATTCTTTAAGAAAGAATAGATCTTGAGAATGAGATTTAAAGTTGAGATATAGAAAGGGAGGGAGGAGGGTCCAGCTCAAAATTTTACCTGAGGGGAAGGGACAAAGTTTGGACCACTAGGATGATTGAGTAGTCAAATTCATGAGGCACAAGATGGAATTGCTAAGAATGACACCAAAGTGTGGCACCTAAATTATGGATATCTTTTGAGATTTTGTGTCACCGATGTGAAAGGAACTAGAGAAAAAACCCCACCAGGAGAGATGGATGGATGGACTTATCACACAATACATGAGGTGGGTGGGGTTTTGGTTCCTAGACAAAGCTAAGGTAAGAAAAGAAAAGAAATAAAATTAAGGTCAAGATATTTTGCAAGCTTTTTCTTGTCCCCCCCCTCTTTCTTTTTTGGGATCATACATGCTTTAAACCTAAACCTCTCTTGGGTCTACAAAAAGTGCTCTTGTTGGTGGGGTTTTGGTCAATTCATGGAACTTGTTTGTCCCTTCATTTTTCAAGGCCTTTATGCACCACAAGTCCTCAGGGCATGAGAGCAATTTCCAGTGTGGAATATGATGGTTGAGCTCATCTCTTCCTCCAACTTCAGTCACAATGACCTTGCAATTCTCATCCTTGGACTCATTAGCCATGTTGTGTACAAATTGGCACAAGGCCCTAACTAGCTTCCCTGAGAATGGCCCTTCATGGTGCACCCCATACATGAAATAGAACCCAAATGGGTTGAAGAAATCAGGTATGGTAGGCAATTTCAAGCATGGGAACATCTTATCAATGAGCCACCAACTCTTGGTGCATAACAAGCAAGAAAAAGGTGCTTTCCCTAGCCTTAGCTTGAATATTTCACCACTATTCCATACACTAAGCATAGCCCAACTTTTTGGCACTTGCCCATCCGACCCAAAATCACCCCAAGCAATATCTCCTTTGAAATAAGCCACCCATGTCCCCAAACTGAGCTTGTTCCTAAGTATGTTCCCTATGTCATTAGGGAAAAACTCTGTTGACCCCATGAATCTTCTATAGAGGTACTCAGCTTGGTCAACCTTCAGCCTTGCAATCTCAATGTTGGGTGATATCTGAAAGCAATGATGGTTCACAGGGTTCACAAGAATAGCTGGAGTCCTAAACTTGGTGTAGCCAAACTTGTCCATGAAGAGACTCACTGAGGCATGGTTGTCTTTCTCTGTTGCCATGTATGCATAGTCCACATCCTTGGAAGTGAACCATTCTTCTAGCCTTTTCACTAGGCTTGAGCCAATCCCTTTTCTCCTATGATGGGGTGATACCCTTAGGCCAAGGACATACCCCACCTTTGCCAAATCCTTTGGAGGATGGCCATGAACCGTGACCACTTTTATAGACCCTTGAATGACACCAACCAATTCATTGTCCAACTCTGCCACCTAACACCAAATTCAGCATGCACTTAGTGCTGGACATGATGATCAAACAATAAGAAAAAGAAGACATATACCATTTTCGAATACAAGTTAGAATTACTTTTGCGAACTCCTCCACTAGAAAAATTTGAAACTCTTAAAAATTCTTTTAAATTTGCATCTAAAAAAGACTCCTAGTTGTGATGCATTATTAAAAAAAAAAGTTGGGAAGACATGAAGATAGTGCCTCAGTAGTGGCATGGTATTGCATATTGATATCACTTACCAGCATCATGTACATGGGACTGTTCCGGATCCTACAAATGGGGTCACCCATAGTGTCTGTGAAGAGAAACACACTTTCTGATGGCCCTACTTCGCATCTTCTCTCAAGATCTTCCACTTGAGCCCTATCAGATTGCCCCTCATAGCTTCTGATTCTGAACTTGTTGAATTCCATGCCAAAGAAAGGAGATTTAGGGAAGGGAGTTGAAGGAGTTTGATGTGTATGTGATGATTGAGTGAAACAAAAGTAAAAGGAATTAAACTCAAAGCTTAAGAAGGTACACAAGATATACAAATAGCAAGACAGTGCAACCAACCAGAAGTAACACAAGTACTACAACAAGAATGGTTTGGCATAGACTTCATTATGATAATGATTTATATGGAGGCCAGGGGATAGAAAGAAAAACACAAAATGCAAAAAAATACAAAACAAAATTAAAAGGAGGTGGGAAGAGAGAGATAGTCGAAATAGAAAGAGAGAGATTGGAACTTGGGAGAATGTTCTTTATCAGAATCATCAATAACCTAGGCTTCAATAAAAATAGTAGACAAAAGTTAGATTATTAATAGAATGTGTTTTTTGTCTCTAGCTTTTTGTATCCACTCCTCGTATACATAGGTTAAGGTAATCTTATTCTTATATGTAAGAATTTCTCGCATAATATTATATATTCTCTTTTTTTCATCCTTCATTATATTTTTAGTGATGATTTACTATCCCTTGAATTGATTTGTGTGAGGCTTAAATTATGTCAGACAAATTTAAATCAACTATACTAAAATTTAATGATAAACTGTACTTTACTATTTAAATGAAGGTTAATTATCACCCGGTGAGTACAATTCAAATCCGACATTCATATTAGAAAAGCGAGGAAGAGGAGATTGTGCGCGCGCGTGTATTTTTTTCTTCTTTTATTTAAGAAAATAATAATTTCTGTTTATCAATTACACCCTTTAAAAGAGAGACAAATGAAAAAAAAATATACTAATAATAAAAAGGATCACCCCACTTGATTTCCACTTTTACTTTTCTCATATTATTTTTTTTATACATAAAACTGTGGAAAGAAAACTTCACAATCTCATAGGTTTGAGTAACATGGATAAACCTCCTCTCTAAGGAGATGTTTTTCATATATAGGAATTGAGTTAAGAACCTCCTTGTGGCCCTATTTTATCTTTACTAACAACATATAATTTCTAATAATTATCACAAATTACAAGGAAAAATGTTATTCTCTCTTTTTTAACAGATGCATGGAGTGTTTTTTTCCTCACTAGTAAATAGTAAATAAATTACTTAATAAGATAAATAAAGGTATAAAATATTGCTTAATAAGATAAATTACTTAAAGGATATAATGTGTGTGAAAGACAATCAACTTACTGGTAGCGAGATTAGTATTTGACCTACTAAGTTAGGAGATATTTAACCAATTTTTTTTATAAAAAAGATAACAAATTTAATAAAAGTGATATATATATATATATATATATATATATATTTATATATATATATATATATAGAGAACATATCAAG